TCTTCCTCCTCCTCCTCTTCCTCCTCCTCCTCCTCCTCCTCCTCCTCCTCTTCTTCCATCATCAATCACCATTGGTGCTTATTTCTGGTCCACACCACCTAAGGTGTGGCTCTATTCTTAAAAGGCACGTGGATATTTATATTTGCTGAAGTTTGTAATAAATCTTACATTGTACTACGTGCTCCTGAGCTGTGTGAGAGTCCTGCCTTCACCGGGAGGAAGGCCAGCCACACACCCTGGGGAAAGAGTCCCAGAGACAGGAAGAAGGGCGACTCTGGAATATGGGGGAAAGCTCTGGAGCTGAGAGGGCTCCAGCCGGGGCAGCGGGCACTGCAGGGCCCATGGCTGGGGCTGGTGATGGTGCCCGTGCCCAGAAGAGGCTCTCAGGACCATTAACTGCCTGCTTGTAGGAGTCAGAGCTTCCCTCTACCCTGCGCCCCCAAAGCAGAGCTGCAGACATGGAGAGGGCAGGCTGGGCTTTTGTGCTAAGGAGCCTGGCAGCTCTGAGGTCTGGATCGGCTGGCTGGCAGGAAATGGGGGCACACACGTGGATGCCGGCTGATGCATGTGCTGGCTCCTGGGCTTTGGGGCTGCGGAGGTTGGAGGTGGGGTGTGGCCCGCTCGCTGCAGCCTTTGTTGGTCCTGTTTCACAGGCCTGGCCTCCCAGGAATCCTGCCCTGTGCGGCTCTGTGAAACCCAGGGGGCCAGGCGAGCAGCCTCCATTCCCCGCCGTGCACCTCACCACAAGTGTCTGGACTCAACTGAGCCCCTGGGAATTCCAGGCTGCCCTAGGGAGTCAGACAAAACAAAGCTGCTGCGGTGAGGAGAAGGAGGAACCCGCACCAGCCAGACAAACGCTCCCTGCAGCCGCTGCCCTCCCCCTGTCTGCCTCCAGCCAGGAGAAGCCGCCACCACAGGAGGCACGCAGGGGTGCGGGGGGCGGGGCCGACTCTCCCAAGCCCAGAACGCTATGCCTTCCCCATGACAGGCTGGCGTCCCTTGTCCCAGTGCCAGGGTTTCAGGCTCAATCTTCCCCACAGGCCGGAGCCCCCTGGGACAGGGACAGGGAGGCCGGCCGGCCACTGGGGCTCCCCCCCTTGACCCCTGCCTTCGAGCCTGCCCCTCTCCTCAGTTTCTTGCTCCCTTCCTCCAGCAGGCATGCTCGCTGGTCTCCATCATGGTCCTTTCTGTTTTCTCGGGGTATCTCAGCCCCCCAGGTCATGGCCTCACTCCAGTGGAGTACCCGTGGCCGGTGGCCCATGGCAGTGACCAGGTTTCCTGAGCTTTGCTTTACCTCCTCACCAAGAAAGAACTACGTGTCCACAGGCAGAAGTGTTAGGGAACATCTCCTCTTCCTCCTTCAATGTTCCTCTTCTGCAAATGGAATGAAAGAAGAGGCCGATCCCTTACCCTCCGCGAAGCTGGTCACGGGCAGAGTCTGCGGGTGCCATAGGTAGAGGCCACAGGAACCTTGGTGTGGGAGATGTGACAAGGAGCCCGTCCAGGAGGCCTCTCCCCTCTGCCCCAGGCAGAATGTTCCCACACTCCCCACGAGGGCTACGTGGGGCACAGAACACCAGATGTGCTGTCCAGCCCAGCTTCGTGGCCTCGGGGTGCAGAACTTCTTGCAGGGTGGAAGGGTGAAAGCTACTTGGTCCTGTCTCCACAGTGTCTGGAGAGAGCACTGAGCACAGCAGATACCACCACTGTTGGCTCTGGGTCTTCACGTGCCATTGCTGTGAAGGATCACCCCTTCATCTCTCGCCTCTGTCCTGGTGCTGAAGGAAGAGCTCTTACTAAAGCCATTCACAGCCTCCTGGTTGCCACACCATGAGCCCCTGTTTATCACTTCTCACATAGCCTGTGCTGAGCAGACGCCGCCCTGGACACTGTCCTTTGCATGAAGCTCTTCTTCCTTGGCTTGGCCTCTACCTGAAAGACCTGCCAGATGGCTCAGTCCTCTGTCATGGCGGGCGCTGACTTCCTGCTGGGCTGCAGGCCCTGCCTACCCACCCACACAATGTAACAGACTTCACCAGAAACTTCAGCTCAGAGAGGGGTGAATCCCCACCACCAGATTTATTTCCAGCTCCTCTGGAAAATTCACCTCATCCTTTAAACCATCTCCTTCTCAAACACGGCCAACATCTAACATGCATCAGTCACTTCTTCTTGTGGTGGTTAATCATATGTGTCAACTTGACTGGGCTACTGATGCCCAGATAGCTGGTAAAATACCACTTGTGGGTATGTGTGTTAGACTGTATCTGGAAGAGGCTGGCAAAGGAAATCAGGAAACTTAGTAAAGACCTGTGGGTGCGCTTCCCCCAAGCTATTGAAGACCTGCATGGGGGAGGAAGGCAGAGGAAAAGCCAAATTGTCTCTCCTCTTCAGCTAGAACACGCTGCTTTCCGCTCAGACGCCAGAGCGCCTCGGGGCCTCAGGCCTTCAGAGACCTTCACTAATAGCATCTGAGCTCTGCATCCGTCAGCCTTCAACTAAATTACCCCAAAAGCTTTCCTGCTTCTCCAGCTCGCAGGATTGCGTAGGGCTTCCCAGGCTAGCAACCGCTTCCATCCATTCCCACAGGAAATGCCACGTTGATTGTCTGTCTACCTTCTGTCTATCTGTCTAATCTATTAACTATCTATTATCTTCTATCATTTTCTATCCATCTGTCATCTGCCATTTTCCCATCACTTACCTAGGTATCCATCCTGTTCTTATCATCTATGTTTCTGTATAACTGCCACTGATCTATCTATATCCCTATCATCTATCTATAACCTATCTCTATTTTACTTATCTATATCATCTAGTCTATCTATCTATCTATCTATCTATCTATCTATCTATCTATCTGCCTATCCATCCATCCATCCATCTATCCCATGGCTCTCTTCCTCCATAGGTTTGTGACTTGTGCACGTGTCTTCGGTCACCTGGGAGTGCTGCTTTTTCTCTGTGGCTCAGTGATCCACCCTGCCCTTGTATCATGGCAGCTACTTAAAGAAGCCTGTGGTTTAGTAGGGGAAAATCTGTGCTAACCCAGCCACTCGGAGTGTCTCTTAGATAAGCAGTCACAGGACAGAGCAGAGGTCATATGGGAATCCCCATTGCTCTTAGAGCCAAGTTTACTTTTACATGATCACATAGAAATAGAGAATGGGTATCAAGAGGAGAGACTGAAAACACAAGTCCATGAATCCATAATCCTGCTTTACATCTACACATACATTTACATGTGTAAATTCAGTATTTAAATTATAGAGGTATATTCAAATCAATTATTATACTAGTTCATTTGATTATCCATAAAGTTATAAAAGGCTTTTTGTTTACACTTCAGCTAGGTCCATTTCAGCATTTCTGGATTAACTACGGTTACATTCAGGTCTGGGCCATCCACAGGCCGACCATGTGAGCTCGTTCAGGACAGTAAGCAGGTGACACATCCCAGTGGCTGCAGCAGCCTTCAGAGTGCATCAGATAAGACAACCTCTCCATGTATCGCCCCCAGCCCGAGTCCGCGCATTCCCCGGGGTGGTGGCTGAGGGAACCAGTGCCCTTGCTGGGTCGTGAGCTGCTTATCTGCATAGCAGTGCCAGGCTAGCCTTCTACACAGCTGCACCAGCCTGCACAGCCGGCACCTCCTCAGGCTGCATTCTCAAGAATGCTGCTCATCGCCTGTTTCCCGTTCAGGTCCAGAGTCCTCACTCAGCCTCCCACCATTTCAGTGCAGATGAATACCACAGTATCTAGAGGGCACCAAAAGAAGATGAGATCCATCCCCGGATGCTCTTCTACTGATTCCACTTGCAGGCCCTAAATACCATTCCTGATTGTTGAAGTACAACCTCCAGGTCTTCATATCACATGACAGTAAAAGTTGCTCTCTTACCATATTGCATGTTGGCTATACATTGTCTATGAGTTTGTTTCCCCCAGTTCCAAATCGGAGCAAAAGAATAAAGTCCAATCAGGTCAAAGGACTCCACTGGCCCAGAGGAATGTGAGAAGCCACTGGAAATGCCCGCTGTCTCATGCGTCTGTCCAGTATGGGCATACTGTACTCAGATGTCCACCCAGCTGGCCACAGCAAGGGATAATGCTCACAGGCTGGGCAGTGAACTCCTGCAGGGAGACCTTTCACAGTCAATATCATGGAATTAACATGGAGTTAAAAACTCAGAACAGCAATGCTACTAGTACATAGACTATGTGCGGATTCCAAACAAAATCATCCAGGCTCTTCTCGTCAGATATACAGCATAGCAGTTATGTCCCATTAACTACCTTACCCAGCAAGTCCAGCCAACTTCCTATCTGTTGGATTTGTTTTTTTAATCTATAAAACAAAAGATCCCACTGGCTCCTCAAAACTTCTAAGAAACCAGACTTTCCACTTTGCTT